GGGGTACCGAATATTACCGCTGTGAAAAAAGGGGACATTCTAAGCGTAACTGTAGAGTACGGCTGAGATCTCACTCTCTTTCTGGTGATTATCTGCCTTCAATGGGAGACTTTGAAAGGTGTACGGCGGAGACCTTGTGCTCAACCGGTGATCATGTTAAATGTTCATGGTATTTTGTATAGGGAAAATTTTCTTCTGACAAAAAATTATTCCAAAGGTCCAAATATCAGAACTTTAATTATTCCGGTAATATAGTCAGGCTTAGCCCACCAAACCCAATCATTTATTTATTGTCACGATTGTAACTGCAAATACCCTTGGTCATTAGTTTCATATTTTTATGTTAGTTGAGTGATTGTGCAGACTCTTCACTTAAACCATGCAACGCTATGCCATTTCGTGGTTAGAAATTCCAACTAAAATTATTAGGAAATCAAAAATATTAATTTCACTCAGCCGTCAAACAAAAATATCCTATAGTTACTTTAGAGTATCTGAGATACTATATCTTGAATAATTTTCATTTTTTAGCACAAGTATTTAGTATATTCGTTACTTTTCAGAAGGAACTGCATCCCTTATCTTAAAAAAGTATCTTGGATAATTGCCGAAGTATCTGGGCTAGGTATCTATTTAAATCCGCAATTGAGGTCATTCAAAGAAACTCGTCAAGGAAAAGCCAGATTTCCCAGGAATAACTTCCTAGCAAATAGAGTCGTATAAAAATGTGGAATTTACTTGAAGAAGAAAAAGTGTTTGAACTCCGTTTTTTTAAGAGTAACTGAGTACTCGAAGTGGTTTCAGATACTTTTCAATAGTATCGTTGACAGCTTTTCTTTCACTATATCCTAAATCCGACTCTCCTCCACAATAGACAAAAATATATATATATGTATAGGTACACATACATTTTGAGATGTCACAGAAACCTTTCATGCTTTACCTACATAGAAGATATTTCGAGAAGGAATAAATTTATATATTTGAGTCTGACTACAAATTTGCTAAATGTAATTTTAGCTTCGAGAAAATAATTATTTAAGTCATTAGGCCAATAAGTCTGTTGTAGCGGAAGCCTACAATTGAGCGAAGCAGAAAAAGACCTTCAGGGCCCTAATGGCATACAACATTTTATCGTCAATATTTCCTTTAGCACCTCACTATGCTTTTCTCATCGATTCTCGAAAAAATAAACAGCTGCTAGTATGGATGTTCGACGTTTGTCGAATTTGTTAACTTTAAATGTCAAATCAATATCAAGCCATAAGCCATACGGAACACATTTTACTGCTCCGAACAAGGAAGCTCGTGAAAGCGCGCAGATACATAAACTTGGTAATGCGTATTTATTTATGGTCCTACTTTATCTATGCAAAAGTTTAGTAAATAATAATGAACAAAAAATGTAAAACGAACAAATTAGTGCAAATTATGAAAAAGTTGTGCTCTTAGAATAGTTCCCGAACTCGGTCGTTGACCCTGCCATCTAGCGAGGAGAGAACGCAAAATTAATTACAAGAACATAATAGCACTGATTGACGCTGCTGCTTCCAGCGAGAAAAAAACGAACAAATTAAACCATACAGAAAAATCTTTATGGTCCTAGAAGCATAATGGATCACTTCTGTGTCAAGTGTTAACGACAATAGAGTTTATATTATAGACCGACCGCTTGAAGATAAGATAATTTATTTCTCTAAATCCCTCTCTAAATATCTTCAAACTACGCAAGGAAATATTCTAATTCAGAGTGTTCAAAATATGGGTTATTCAAATTCATTCATCCAATTTCAAAAAAACTGTAATATATCGACAGTATATTATCGTGGGGTATGGTACAGCATGAGACACCTATATGCGAAGCTCGTGCATCTATGTAAGTTTCCAGGCGAATGTTTACGGCTCTTTCTTTTTTATAGAAAACACGGTGACTTGTCACTCTTATCTAGATAATGTTAGATTGATCGCCGTGGATAAACTTTGCCGTGGACGCATTGGTAATTTATAATCGAATCTGGTCCCCTAGTCACCAGACCTTCCTCCGCGCGATTTTTTTTTTGTTGGCGGGTAGGCAAAGGACAGTGTGTAATTGCCGCCGTTGGCCACAACTTTGGCTGAGCCTGGTTACACTCGGTTCTCATCTTGACGACGATCGCGTTACTAGGGGAAGTTACACTTATAGATTGCACCACAAACTTGGGCAGTTTTTTTTAGTGATGAAACACTTATCACTCAACATTGTCCCTACTTTTTAAAAATAGTTATTTGAAATAGTATGAATAATTTTGTATACCCAATGATTGATGTCAACCATAAGGTAATAATATTTAGTACTTATTAATTTAATTCCATTTGATACAACCTGTAAGCAATTTCTGTAAATATAACTATACAACTTTCTGCTAACTTTTTTTTACATATCACATTTACTTTCCTTTATGTATAGGTATATATTTTATTATTTTTTTTAACAAAGAACAATGAATCACTCAGCCAATAAATTAATGTCCGGAATTAAAAATTTTCTGCAGCTGATAGACCAACCATAGAACTAATGTCAATAAAAAATATACATAATTATTTTGAATAGTTTATTTTTAGAGATCGATTAATTTTTAATTCGAGACATTTCTTTATTGGCTGACTGGTAGAGACAACTGGTTAAAATATTGAATATGGCTACGTATTTTAGTATCTATATGTATAAATGGCATTTTGCGTGATTTTGAAAAGAATAACCAAGAATTTATATCGTTTCAGGAAATATTTTGATTTGGTTATTTTGGAAATGTTACCCGATATTTGTTCATTAATTATTATATAATTTGATAAATTCCAAATATCACTTGTGATAGATATAAATTTCTTGGTAATTTTTTCTCACGTGTTTCAGTTAATCACAGTTAATTGAAATGATTATTAATAACCTGCCTAATTATCAAATAATTAATTTGACACTTGAGTATTTCTTTTTATTTTGTTAGCAACCTTATCGAAATAATTTTTGATTGCTTTCTCCAGAGTTTCGTTTACCCCAAATCATAAAAGTAGGTACCTACAAAAAATGGTTGTAGATTCTGTTAGTTTTCATTACCACAATTTTCTGCATTATTTGTTGAGTTTTCCAACTTGGATTCTGTGACTTCAATAAAGATCAGGATTATGAAAAACGCGGAAAGAAACGAACTCCTTGATGTTTTCTCTTTTCTGATCGGAGCGTTTAAAAATGTGCGATCTGCAACCATTATCAACCATACTAAAGAGCAGCCTTTTCTTCTCTAATTCCATCCAAAACCATTGTTTTTTTTTTGTGATTTTACAAATATTTCCTCAACAATCCGCTTTCACATTCCTTATTTTTCTGTTATTAATGTAGGTACCTATCTACTTACTGAAACTTTAGACGTATTTTAGCGACCAGTAAAAATCATACTACACATACTAGGATTCATGACGTCATAGTTACCCAAATGACAGGTGGAGTGTATTTGACGAAGATGCCATGATCGTTGTTTATTTGGATTTGTTGAATTTTACAAAATTTTGCGTTTTCGAGTTTCAATATTATTTCTCCAAAGAAGATTTTCGAATATTTTCGATAGATTATGGTATTTTTGAATTTTATGGAAACCCCATGCCAAAAATTAAGATAAAATTACCCTTTTGTGCACAAGTGAAGATTTTTTTTTGCAAAAATACCTCTATAAAATCACAGAAAACCATGGCAAAATGGGGAAAAACAATCGTCTATTTATTAATGGAAAGAACTGTGTTGATAATCGTAGTCAGCTGTTTTGCCCATATGCTCATTTTCGTGTATTAGAAAAAGATGCACTGACATACTACATTCAGTAACTATCCCTCGTAGGATGGTTACATGTTTACAGCCGAGTTTTATGTTGTGACGTCATAGTATTTCAGCCATGATTGCTAAAATGTTGTATTTCAAGTAAATACAACATACTACTGGGTTAAAACTTTCGCTAAAATACGCCTATTATATTATTAAGGCTGGGTTCCGTTTCCAACCTTGGTTACGTTCCGTAATGTTTGGTTCATGAAAAACCGGTCTCTACGGAACGCGGTTCCTGAAAATGATTATGTCTGCGATTGGTACAGCGTTCCGTATAAAACCGAAATTTTCGGCAACCACTGTCAACCGACATTGTACCGACCAGTTAACCAGGTTTGGCAACGGAACCCACCCTTATCTAAGTATGGTATTGTCAGTCAATGTCTCACGACACATTTAAGGTGTACCTATTTTTATAAATTATTTTGGTAATTTTAAACTTTGGAACATATCTATGTCAACATATTAAATTAATTTGAATTCATAGGTATGTATTATGCGACTTTCTGCGATTGTAAGTAAAATTCTCAAAAACAAAACTCAAGATCAGATTTGGAGGGTAAATCCAAAAGGACTGGTTTTTCTACAGTATTTCAGGTCCTACCAATTTCTTCTCACCCAAATAGTTGTTGATAATATGGAAACCCCATTCAACTTAGTTCAGCAAAAAAATAGGAAAATGTATGGTAATTTCATAACTTTGTGAAACTCTAATTTCGCAAGCTATTTTTTGTACCTACTGGGTGCAAGGTGACATGAAAAAGGCCACCTGCTCTAACTCAGATGCTGCTATATAAGTGACAGACAACGTAAAAAAAAAAAATCTTACGGTAAAAATGGCCATAAAAAGTCTAGGTATATATCGGTCTGTTTCATGAGTAATGACAAAAAAAGTATGATTTTTTAAATGAATTTCGTGAATTCACATTTTGTTTTAAGGCAGGTTGACACGGTCCAAGTGCACTTGGATTGGATGAGAACTTGGACCAAGTAAGTTGGCTGCCAGTGCTGGGAATATGTAACGGATAGAGATTGTTATCCCTATCGCTATGGCACTTGCTGTCTTCTCTCTTTTCGAAATCAATAGAGAGGGGACGTCAATAGAGATAGAGAAAATATCTCTATTCGTTACAAAGTTCCAGCCCAGGGACGTTATCCCTATCGCTACGGCAGTTGCTGTCTTCTTCTCTCTTTTCGAAATTAATAGAGAAGGGACGTCAATATAGAGATAGAGAAAATATCTCTATTCGTTACAGAATCCAAGCACAACCTACTTATACTTTGCCTTACGAGTCTAGCACTACGACGTCTGAAGGGCAAGGGGGAATAACGCCATTCATTTCGAGCTTTATGCTGCCTGTCTTAGGCGTGCCCGCAGCGTTTTTAAATGTAGGTGTGTAGCATAGATAAATATTAGGGTATTTTCTATTGGAAGTCAAATAGGCAATATTGCAATTTTTTTATCCGCATTCTTTCCTTAGTTCTAGACTCGTAAGGCGAACTTTACTGTTAGGAGGACCTATCCAACTGGACTTGGATTAACAGTTGATACGATCCAAGTATCATCCAAGTGAGTCGCGCGCAGCTTCCAAGTTTACTTATTCCAAGCACACTTGGACCATGCCAATCTGGCTCTAATTAGACTTGGATTTGATAACAAGCCATATTATTTACCTTCAAAATCAATTACTTTTTTCAAATTCCAGAGCCATGAAACTGAAGATTGTAGTTTTTTATATACCTACTCTTTTTATTAATTGAAAAAAATATTGGGTAGGTATTTGCCAATTATCTGGTTATTAATTTCAAACATTGTTAAAACTTAAAAAACGAGATCCCAAAAATGTTTATTTCCATTTGGCTTCTTCAGGGCTTCAGTAAGACAGGAGTACAAAAGTTTATGTTTGTCATTAACATATCTTGGAACCCCAATCTTTTACTCTATGTTGAACAAAATTACTAGGTGTAACTATTAACGAACTGAATAATTATTTTCATAGCTTCGCTGATTTAGAACCATTTTACCAAGGAGTCATTCCTCCTGAAAAATAAAGTGCAAAATTACTTATGGAATAATAGTTATACCGATTGTTCCCTTGAAGCGTTGTACTTTTACATTCCAAAAAATTGGAATAAAAAATATTGGAAAATCATCGGAAAGCAATAAAATGTTCAAGAGCCAGATTTCCAACCCAACTCCTTAGAAATATCCGGGTAAGGCTTATATTTTCATATATTTTTTAACAAAATGTCTACATTTGATCACCAAAACTAAGGAAAAAAATACTAGTAATAGAAATTAATGTGTTTTTTTGTCAAAAATTAAAGATTACTTTTTTTACATCCCTTTTTAAACTTATTGTGCGATTCATAGCTTAGGTATTACTCGGTCGTGGCCGCCTTTTTTTCAAAACACTCCAATCTTCCGTGATTTGCTAGATTAGGTATTCCATCAACGTTGAATTATTTCATTCTCGATAACTGTAGTCTTCAAATATCCAGGGATGGACCAATTAGTACGAAAGACGGGTTCAAAAGCTATCCCCGTTATCCCAAGCCCCAGAGGACTGATAATGCGTATACAGGGGCGAAACGGTGTTGTCATATGGTTCACAATTTCCCCAACTTAAATTTGGCAACTTCGCACTCCCTATGATTTATAAGAGTACCAAAGAATCGAACCTTCAATATGAAAAGAAGCGAAATACACCTATGAAGAGCTGTTAACAAAAGTAACGTGGAACCATGTTGCCAAACTAAATTTTAATAAGTCTAAAGTAATTTCTGAATGCCTTCAGTAGTAAGGATGAAAATAAAAATTCTACTGAATTCTGCTCTCTATATCAGAACACATGGAAAAAGAAGACATTCAAGCACACCAACTCTCAATGTCTCCCGGTCAATTCTTTTTGTTAAAAATAAACGTTCGTATAATAATACAAGCCTACACAATGATTACTGACTTAAACCGTTTAACTGCAATAAGTCCGTTTGTTGAATTGTTCATTGTTGAACCAAAATGTATTGAGAAAAACAACGTGACCATAGGAATACAAGTTCTGTTAAACCCTATTTACCTTCTATTTCTTTGGATGAAACTCTAGAAAAAAGGACGTGAACATTTTTTTCTGGTCAAAAAAAAAAATCGCAAGATTGAGTACCTAACGATTTTGTTTGTGCGATCCGATAGTTTTCCTAATTCTGTTTTATTTCACATGATGTCAATATTCGATATAACTCCGATGACAACTTTTCAAATAAACATTCGGTATAACTAAATAATATGACTTGCGAATAGAAAGTACTATCGTGCACTACAAAAAACAAAAGTAGAAGGAAAAGGGAAGCCAAATTAATTCTTTACTTTTACCAATGCTTGACTGAGACGTGAGCCTTGCCTGTCTCGGCTCTATCTTTAGAGATTCTGCATAAATTTGGTCATCATTCATCATTAGCGACGTATCCAATAAATAATTTGAGACCCGCGTCACCAAATCAATTTTGTATGATGTTTGCTGGTATTGACGAATTTCACGGATAATGTGAGCAATCTAAAAAAAAAAAAAACATTCAAATTTTTATAAAAATATACAAGAAAAAATAATACCATTCTCATTTTGGAAAAATTTAAGAGATTGTCATCAACAAAATTCGGAGTTCCTTCTTCGATAAAAGACAAATCTGTTAAATACACTCCAAGATATGGAATACATGGTGGGTCACAATTATGCAAGGCATCACGAAGTGCCCTGAATCGTCCATCAGAAGAAACTATTTTTTGATGCTTCTCGATTGATTGTTTTGCCTGTAAAATACAAAATATAGTATTTTAGCAAAATTTTGAGTGTCAATGTCTAAAAAGTCTTAGTACGAGCTTATATCTCAAATAGGTACTATCAGAAGAGCGCAATATTATGACATTTGTACCAGAAGATTTTTCTCCACCATGGAAATTGGCACCTGGACGTTATAATCTAGTCCTGTATAATAATGTCCTATATTATAACTGCTCATGAATACCATTAAACATAGAAAATTTTATTCAAAGGTAAAAAAGAACGGAACTGAAGTTAGAAGCTAAAGATCATTTGTAATCACATCTAGTGTTTAGTGCTCACAAAAAAGAAGTCGAGAATCAGGAGAAAATTGTGAAAGATATACATAGGTAGAACGGACAAAGGTATTGAAGTAGAAATGTTTTATGAATATTAATTATACATATTTAGTTGTAAATAAGGACAACTTATTATTCTTACTAAAATAGATTCTATATAAATTCTGCTCATCTCACTACTAGGGTTAGCTCATGAAACAACTGCACACATATCAGAGCACAAAATAAGCTGAATGTACGGCCAATCAGAAACATTAGAAAATGCAGCGCATCCACTGGCAGAAGGCGACCACGAATTTTAACGATATTTATTACCGACGGACCACAGAAAACCGTAACTTCACTGAAACTATCGGTCGGGAAAGCCTTCATTGTGTTATGGAACACGTCTATACTCTATGGGCAAAATACCTCAAAACTAATTTGGTCCTTGGAGGAGCTATTTCCTATTTTTTTCCAACGAAACATGGAAAAACAAACTTTGCATACATTATTGAATTTGTAATATCATGAGCTTCTCAAAAATAAAAAAAAAATAATAGGGGTGCCATTTGAAAAAAAAAGTCAAGGGTTGTAAATAGGGGATGATTTTTTCAGGGGAAGATTTTTTTATATTTTTGAAGAGAGCTTGACTAGCCATTAATATTTTTTTTTTTTTCAAATTTTTATTTCTAAAAATAAGGAAGTTAGGGCCTGTAACGCTGATTCTGGGACACCCTGTATATATATAGCCCGGACGACACATTAGTGAGCTTAGATGTAGTTTCACTCTATACCATGTTGCCGGAATTTATAAGCCAACTCTTCTCCTCACACAATGCTACCCTGATGTTTGGACAAAACTTGACTACAACTTATTGCTAGTTTGATAGGGATGGCTACGAACAAATTGATGAAATTGCAATGACAAATCTAATAAGACCGTGATAGCTAATCATTTCATGGAGACGTTTCAATAGCTAATCTTGGACTTAATTAAAAAGAAACCAAAGTGCTGGTTTAGATATGCGGATGACACAATTTTCGTATGGAGTCACGCTTAAAAGTAGTATTCTCACTCGAGCCGCATCAAGCTTCATTGCACTGCACCGCAGGCTTATTGCTCCAAAGCGACAAAATTTCTACTAGGTTAGGTACTAGGAACATCATGGATCACAGTTGTGTCACGTGATGATAAAATAAATTCTAAAACTATACACCGCTTGAAAAAAAAAAACATGTTCAAATTTCGGAGCAGCACTATGCAGCACAGTGCAGTGAAACTTGATGCAGCGTTAGTGAGGATACCTACTCCTTAATAAGTTCCCAGATGCCTTTCTGGGCCATACCAACTAAGTGAATGGAAATGAAATTCAACATGGAGACTGAAAATAGCGGAAAGATCTCCTTTCTGGTTGTGGCAGTGGAGAAAAAGCTCAACGGGAAAAATTATCTTGGAGTTTATCGTAAGCCGACCAACCAATCCAGGACAAAAAAAAGAGTGTCTATAACTCTTAAGGTGGACCATAAGATTTACCTATACATATCTGTCATAGTTGTAACTTAGGTATATGTATGACAAGGAGCTACTATACCTACCCACTTACCGACAAACTTATCAGTTTGAAACTACACCACGATCAGTAGGGATGTAAAAGAACATTGAAAACTGCTAAGGAAATACAGTTCGGCTCTTGGAGAAACATAATTAAATGCCTGTTTTTTTTGCCAACTAAAACTATGAAACAAAGGCTGAGTTCTGCGACAGGCCCTAGAGATTTATTGGCGTTTGCAGAAGTACATCGAGTAGGTACCATGCGGCAACGGGAAAATATACATAGACACAAAAAAATGTATAGCGTCAATAAACTCATATCAGAGCAGGTTCGACTAGCTTTAGGCCGAACGCAAAACTACCTTCCAACAATTAACGGAGAGACTATTCAAAACTAAGACCAACAACCGAATTTCAGAAGGAAGGAAGAATGCATCATACTCAGAAAATATGGAATTCAGACTTGAAGAAAATCCTCGGACAATAAGCCAACCGACTACAAGGTGAAATTTTATCAGAATTATTCTGCTTGTATTCCGTCTAAAAATGTGTCTAATGCCGGTTTTCCACCAAACGGACTGTTGAGTTTTTGTTTTAAAACATGTTTTAAAACTCGAAATTAACCCGAAAAACAAACCTCCAAATGAGCAAAACACGCTAATCTTGAAAATGTTTGGGAAAAGTTGGAGTTTTGTCTGAGTTTAAGTTTTGTTTTTGATTTGTCGGTTTGGTGGAAAACCGGCATAATAATGTACGTATTACGGAGAGGGGGAATAATCTTTGAATGTTAAAACATACATTTTTGTATCCTTCTGGAACTGCTAATTTTATTTGTTATTTCATCAAGTTTCGTATTCAAAAATCTATGAGCATGTCACTAAAATTTATCCCAATTAATGTTTGTTACTGTACTAAGACTTTTTGTGCATCCATTCTTCGGGCAAAGAAGTCTATAACTACCGTTTTAGAAACTTTATCCCACGTATTTTTCAATCGAAAAATTCCAGCATTAGTGAAAGCAGAACATATCTGAAGAACCCCGTTGAAATTATGAAGGCATCTGACAATATCAGCCACTGCAGCCCATTTCTCAATTGTCTCGGCTCTAGCGGCCAAGTCTTGTTTCCGTAGAATTTCCGAAGATATCAATCGAGAAACGTCATTGAATCTTTTGGTCATTATCACAACATGTGGAGCTCGCTGTTCTTTGTCGGCTTTCATCCAGGCATGTCCCATCAACTCCCTAAAACCGTAGAATATTACGTACCCATTCTTGGGAAAGCAAAAAAAAAAATATTTAAATAAAAAGATTACTTACTCAGGAGCTATTTGCATAAATATCTGATGATCAATGTATGTCAATTGTTCTGCTATTTCTAGAGCAGAGAGGCTCTCAATTCGTTCTTTACTTGGTTCCTGAAATACATGTAAAATTGGTGTTCAACTTTTAATTTAGTGCTGGATTTGAAAAGCGTGACAGAATTCTTCTAGAGATACCGCGAAAATAAATTCGTTTTTTATGTTATAGGAATCTATAGCGGAATTCCTTTCTGGAAAAATAATAATTTGTTCCGTTTTTATCAATGAAGCGAATGAGACTTCATCAACAACGAATGAATAAGGCCCTAAAATCAACTCTCTAGATCTCAACAAAATTGGATATATACCATATATACAAGCAGAATTCCTGAAACCAACCAAATTTGAAGCTATCATCCAGCTTCTTGGAGTATAGCTACCATAATAATTACTACGTTATTTTTCCTCCGAAAACAAACCTGTTTACCTACCTTTTGTTTTCGACTTTATGAAATAAATTTAATTTTCTAAAAATAACTTTTTCGAGTGAAATACATTACTAACATATCCTAAGTGCAGGTACGTAACTCATGCAGTTTTTTATTATCTATCTGTTAGCATCAATCAACACAAACATAGTTCTATTAACTGATGCAACCCTGCCCTTCACCTACCTAAATTATCAAGAAATTAAAAAAACGCCGAAACACGTCGATTTTGTTTGCAAGGGGGACACTTTTTTGCTATTTTAAAATTTTCCTAGATTGCACCCCCTTACCGGGGTGAGTTGCACCCTCAAAACTTGAATAGGGAAACTGGGTCGAGTGTTACCTTGTTTGAGAGGTACTTGAGATGACTTTACAGATCTGTAATTTATTTCGAAATCTGACTACTAGTTTTCAAGATATTCGCCTCGGAATTTGCCATGGGGCGAAAAGAGAACGTGTTTTTCGTGAAAAAATGAAAAGTGGGTCATGTTTGAAAGGTTGTTCAAAAGGTTCAAACTAACAAAGAATTTGTTTCTTTGTTAGTTCAAAATAAAAAAAATTGACGTGTTTGAGGAATTTCAATTTTTTCTTGTAGAAATGTTCAAAAAACACATTCTCTTTTCGCCCCATGGCAAATTCCGAGGCGAATATCTTGAAAACTAGTAGTCAGATTTCGAAATAAATTACAGATCTGTAAAGTCATCTCAAGTACCTCTCAAACAAGGTACCATTCGACCCAGTTTCCCTATTCAAGTTTTGAGGGTGCAACTCACCCCGGTAAGGGGGTGCAATCTAGGAAAATTTTAAAATAGCCAAAAAGTGTCCCCCTTGCAAACAAAATCGACGTGTTTCGGCGTTTTTTTAATTTCTTGATAATTTTTGAGAAAATTCAGGTGGATCATTTTTAATTTTCCACCCTGTATTATGAAAGTTCGAGATAACAATTTTTTGTTAGAATAATAATTACCGAACATCTTGTTAACATAAAATCTTTTGCAAAGGACAATTCTTATGGGATTTTTGACCGCGGTCCACTTAACCAAATTTTAGTATGTTATAGATCTCACTTTTCTGATCAATTACTACTAGTTTTTGAGATACAGGTAGTTTAATGTCCAAGAAATGTACACATTTTTATATGCATTTACATCTGTCACCTAATAATATACCAGGATGGACAGGTATCCTCACGCTCGTAACGCTTAGGTGACAAGTAGATGTAAATACATATAAAATGTGTACATTTCTTGGACATTAAACTACCTGTATCTCAAAAACTAGTCATAGGATTAAGTTGTGTCCATAGTAGTCATTAATCAGAAAGATGCGATCTATAACATACTAAAATTTGGTTAAATTTGAGCGCGGTCAGAAATCCCATAGGAAGTGTGCGGGGTCCTGAAAAACTGAAGATACATACTAGTGGCGGTTGCAAAAGTTTGACCAAATCAACAGTCGGCTTATCCTCTTCGTCTTGCTTATCCAAAAGAATCAACAACTGAGCAGCTGACTTATGTTCTCCAGATGTAAGATTGGGATGAGTACGAATTTCTTCCAAAAATTCTTTAGTTTGCCGTTTAAGTTCTTTATTTGTCTCAAAATCTTTACCTTGCTTAGAAATCCAATGCCTGTATATATTTATTTAATTAAGTATAATAGATACAATATTAAAATAAACATATTACCTTAAAACGTTTAGTACCCTCATAGTCGCAGCAGTTGATATTATATGCTCCAAAGACTTTGTTTTATCTTCAGGTGGAATTTGTTTCTGTTGAAACTGGACCGCTACTGGATTATCAGCTGCACAAGTGGCTATAGCGAAAGCTGTGCTAGCATAAGACGAACTACTTCTTCTTTTTGCTTGCGTAGTTCCACCCACAATAACACCTGCTTTACTCGGAGACTTAGAGGCAGCTTCATGCTGAAAACTCGATCTTGCAGTTGTAGATCGGCTGGATTGTGGTTCACGTTTTTCGCCTTCTTTTTGGGAACGTTGATAGAAGTTTTGAAAAAACTACAAATCAAGACAGTTACATTTATTTCTTTGAAATTATTATTAGTATCGTACCCCCAGGATTAGTTGAGTTGAAGTTTGTACGGATGCGATAGACATTTTTGCAATGTCATTAGGTCTTTCTTCTCCCCTGTCTTCAATATCTATTGAATCTTCTTGCTTATCCTCTGGATGTGTGTCACTTTCAAATGAAAAACTTTTTTCTGTTTTTCTTTCCAACCTAGGCGATGATATGTGTCTGTAAATATTCTTTCTTTTTTCGTCTTCGCTAGATTTTCTTCGCTCCTCGGATATCTTTAACGCTGTGCCACTATCGACCGATGACCGTTTTCGATCGTCAGAAGTAGCAATTGATGGACGTTTTCGTTCATCTACGGAAATAAGGGAAGATCTTTTTCGATCTTCAATTGGTCTCTTCCTATCTTCAGATGATCTTTTCCGATCTTCCAGTGACAAAGAAGACCTTTTTCGATCGTCTGATGATGTTGATGGTCCCCTACGATCATCAATTTGCCCTTTTGTTCTTCTTTCTATGAATTCTGGCTTTCGACGATCTTCCAATCTTATTTTTTCAGGTATTTCCGATTTGCGTCTTTCTGTTAAAGCCTTACGAGCGTCATCAGATAAAATTGATTTCTTTCTTTCTGCAACCACGTCAGATTTACGTCTTATTTCTTGTGACGTAGAAGGCTGGTCTCTTGAAATAAGATCTAATTTTTTACGCTCTTCTGACTTTCTACGAGTCACCTTTTTTTCTTCGACTTTATCACGTCGTCTTCTTTGCTCTAACGTGAGTTTGTCCACTGGAAGCTCCTGACCACAAGTATCGCATGGATCTGGACCAATATCTAGTTATAAATTTGTATTTTTATTATCATATCACAGATACAGGGTGTTTCATAACCTTTCGGACAATATAAAGGAAATGAATCACATAATTGACCTATTTATTTTTATCTGTATGCGCGCGCAACACGAAGCAATGCCTTACTATTGACTAACTAGGTTAGGTGTCGGTTTGGCATAATAATTAACTATGCTGCGTTTAAACCTTACGCTAGGTATGTCTTTGTCCTTATATATTTTCCGTGGTTGGTCTGACAAGGATAAAAGTACGGTTGATATTTAACTTTACGTAGGTAGCTTAACAAGTGATCGATTTTCAAGACCGCATCCTAGCTATGAAACATTCAAAAGTTATTTGAGTTTTTGATTGACAAATAAGTTGCACGTCACGCGGTCTTCCTCCTTCCCTTTTTATCCCGTGCAAATAAGAACTACGGTTTGCTATACGCAAGTCTACATGATTTGGTACTTTTTGCCTCGTCTTCCGCAAGTAGCGTTGCTGCGTCTTTTTTTATCTAATGAAGTTTTCGTATTATTTGCATCTTGTCTGGTAAAATATGCAGTTCAATTCTTAAGAAGCAATTTGATACTCTCTGGGAAAGCATAAGAGAGACAAAAAATGCAGGAGATTTGAATTGCCCCTACCTAATTTCTTTATGGAATGAGCTCGAAGCATTGAGTACCTAAGTATATTTATCAGGCTATTATTACGAAATTATAGGAGTTTGTAAATATTTGTTTTAAACAATCTCATACGACTAAAGAAAATTTGTTTTTTTTTTATTGGCCCTTCCTGCATAAAGTATCAAGTTTTACCTGTCAAAGTATCAGTACTGCTTGAAGCCTCAACTTTTGGGATGGTAAGAAATTTGTTTTCCTCTTGTTCTTCTTCAGCTTCTTCGTAAGAATTAACTTTAATAGAAATCATTTTGGGTATACTTCGTTTCCTTTCCGGCGTAGGTTGCACAGTTGAAGGTCTTCTGCTCATGTCATCTTCATCTGTTACGAAATAGGTGTAAAGTCTGGCGAATTTAGCTTTGTTGTTGACTGTCAGATGCTTGGCTGACATTTTATTGTTGCGAACATACAGAGACTGTTTATTTTCATAAATAGGGCAATCGCATTTTTCTTTGAATTTGTTTTTCTTTCTGGGTGGCTTGCATCTGACTGGCAAAGCTAAATTTGTCGCTTTGTAATACATTTTGTTTCTCAATATTTCGCATGCAAATATTATGATATGATTTCGATTTAATTTTTGAATGAAAAAAAGTTGTTCACAAGAGGTGATTTATTTTTGTTTGAAATATTCTGTTGTCAGTTAAAAATTTCATTTTAGGGTACCTACAACTAGAAGTTTTCAATGATTAATTCAAATCTTGCCATTGATTCGATTCATGATTTGTATCCTTCTCAGCTATATGATAGAAATGTTGGCCGAAGAAAAAACAGCTATTGAAGCTTGAAAATGACGAAAATTGAAAATAGGTACCTATATAAACTTGATAGAAATAATGGCTATAAATAGAAAAGACTAAACACAACAATATTTTGTTCAATAAATAAAAAAGTTCTATGCAATAAATATACTCCGGTAATTATGTATTGAATGAAAGTGAAATACAAAGCTAGTTGACCTATAAAATATTGTTTTGTTGTCTGTTTACAAGTTGCTGAAAGCAACTACGTTTTATTCTCCCAAGCATGAGAAAAATTTGAGAACTAGAACAAATTTAATTAATTTTCCTTTTACTTAAAGGTCGAAAAATAGATTAGAACCAGTAGAAGCGAATTATTCTTTTTCAACAAAAATCATTGAGCAAGACCTCCTCTTGAGATCCATCATAATTTTTTGGGCTGAAAGTTTACTGACAACGAATCAAAGTTCGTTCGTTGCACCTTGAAGGAGCATGCAGCACAAAATATTGTAGTATACCTATACAAGAAAATAGTCAGATAGACTGTGTTTCGTCCACTCAATAGTTTTAAGTCTTGCCTATATTGCTTTGAATTCACTTATACAATTAATCTCGGCCTTATTGCATCCTTTGCTAACTTCTGTACTTATTTCTCCTTTTAGCTATTTATATTCACCTTTATTGGTGTTCAAAGTTTCGACTAAATATGTTTAAATTTATGAAAAAAGTTGTCACTTTAGGCCCGTATTCCAGATACTTCTAATGTTTTCATAATAAAATTTTAGCCCTGAAGAAGATGCAAATCAAAATATTGACAGTCTTTTGAGTTTATATCTAGCCCTGCTCCTGCTTTGAAATGATTTCTAGTTATATGAACAAATATGTCCCAGAGCCTGTATAACAGAGAAAAAATATAGTTGGATTTACACAGGGGAGAAGCTAATATAAAATGGAAGATTTCCACACAATGTTTGTATGCGAATTATTGCTTGGCCAAAAACTATGGACTTAAGAGAATCTATATAGAATTGAGGCTGCCAGTTTTAATTACCAGGAAAAATACAATTCTATGCTTATTTAGAAATTGGAATGATGATCGATTTTTCCTGTATTTCTTGCAGTAAAATTTGATTTAGCTGCTCGAAAAATATTTAAACTATTAGGGGAGAGTGGGGCAGCTTCGACATGTTAAGGTTTGCATGTTTTTAAAAACGATTTGTATTCACAGAAATAAACACAACTTTATCTAAACATAGTGATAACATTTCTTAAGTAGGTAATAGGCATTTAAAACCAATATCGTATAAATTCAAAGAGAAAAATATTTTTTTTTGCATCAATGTCAAATGACGAACTTGCCCTCCCCTAGGGGGCAAATTCGACAGCATTATTCTGATACAAATACCTAAATTTTATTTTTTACCTAAATCACAGCAAAAATTAACTGCTCTTCTTCGTATGCATCAGATCAATTTTTTTATAATCTCTAAGGCCCAGTTGTACAATCTTGGTTCAAAACAGAGCTCAGCTGAACTCGACTGGTACTTAAACTTTCCCATTTGAAATGCATTGCTGTCAAAATTGATAGAATTTGATTAATAGCTGACATCAATGTATTTTAAATGGGAAAGCTCAAGTACCAGTCGAGTTCAGTTGAACTCTGTTTTGAACTGAAATTATACAATTGGGCCTAAGCATCCTAGAAACAAAAATAATAGTTCGACAGTGCCGAAATAACGATTGGCGAAGTTGCCCCACCCAAGCGGATTTTAGTAAAATATTTAAAAACATCTTACAGAAGCCTTTTTTACCGCCTATTATCAAATATTTCTACAAAAGATGGGTCAAAGTCACTCTGTAAAAATTAACTTGCGAAATAGGACGCTCTAACAGAACAAAAGTATTATTAAAGTATTGGCCAATCCTTAGATCAGAAATTTAAAAACTCGATAATTGCGTTTTATGCGACAAATTGAGTAGCTACCTTCTCCAGACTTAAGGAGCAACTAACTGATATGTACGATGCACCCTCAAGCCAGTTTCAGAATTTCCGAATCCAACCGATTCCTAGTAAAGCGCGGTGACAAACTTGCCCCGCATGTCGAAGTTGCCCCACTCTCCCCTAGGTATAGCAGCCTTCAAGGGAAAAAATTAAATGAAATCTTTTTTAAAGAAAATAGTGAAAGGGGATAAACCAATGTTAAAAGCCTGCTGAAAGGCAAAGCTCTTTGGCAGGTTAATTATATGAATTGACTAGTCCTAAATTCCAACGTTCAGCCAGGATACATACTTATTAATTATATTTTTAGGTAATTTTTTTAATCCTCGCAGGATTTTTTGCTTGGAGGAAAAATTAATATTATTTTAATGTTACTCTCGATGTTAATTTACAAAATTGTACTTTTTCTGGTTGAGAAAAAAAAAATTAACCTTCAGAAACTTAACAAAAACTTACAAGCAACAATGTGAATTGAAATAATTTTTTTTAATAAAATTGTCAACTTACATTTTGAAAGAAGAATATTTCTTAGAAATTTTCCTTGTGAATCGTAACTGAACGATCGATCTCGTTCGCTAGCTTCAGAGCAGTAGCCTGATACTGAGCTTGCTCCACTTGTTCTCCTCGGAGGAAATTGCATGACACTGCTCCTTCTTCTATAATCCTCATATATTTGCAAGGAATTTTCTTCCTTGCATTGCAAATACTCCGCAACTGCCATTCTCTCTTTTTCTTTTTCCACGCTAGCATAGTAAACACGTTTTAAAGCGGTTAGCACCTTAATTCCGTCAGTGAACACTTTGTAGGTCAGAAGAAATGTATTTAGGAAATCGATGGATAGAAATCGGAGATCTACAAGGAAATGCATTTATCGAAAAAATATAACACCACCGCTCAGAAATTATACTACCTGATCTGTATTAAAATAAGAAAGTATAAAACATGTAAATATAGACAAAATATAAATACATTCGACTGTAAAAGATGAAAAATATAATTAGAAATCAAATGGAAGGCATGGATGCTAATGAAAACATTGTTCTTGTTGCATGAGGAAGTATTCTTACCAGTAAGCCTTTCCAAAAGCCTATCAGGTGTAGCATAACGTATCTGTGGTATTTTGCAAGAATTAAGTATTTTTGAGAATTTTATGTCTGGTTCATCATGGAATAATCTTGGATCGTTCCTTATATACTGAGGAAGATTAATCGAGCTAGTATCCGCCATCATTGGCTTACAAATTTCACTGAATTGAGCATTATCGATGCAGCCAGCTATGTCAGAAATCCATGCTGCTTTGTCGCTTACTGTAGGAGCCACAAGGTGAATTAAAAGCTAGAAGTTAATAATAGGTATTATTTTATAATTAAAATAAAAATATTTCTTTTACCGGGGCCACCAAATTTTTGCTGTCTAGAACAACTTTGAAATCTCTACCCTGGTAAGAATTATTTTGTTCAGTTGTCACTGAGGAAGCAGATTCGCCTGGTCCGTCTGAAATGAGAGAACGATTAGTCCAAGGTTTTGATATTGAAATCTAAAATGGGACATTAGTGTTCTTTTTTGTCGGTGCATAAATACTAAGCTTCATCAATTTTGCATTGGAACACGAATAGAAGTTTAAAATATTCTGGTTTAAGGTCTGTACTTCGGTAGGTACTTACCAAGGGTAGACTCTTCATTTGGCTCTTCTATTAAAATAGCATCACTCATGGGTATTTTTCCAACATTTGGCACTAGATGCAAGTTTCCATCGGTGCCCCTTTGCAAAAAAAATAGAAACCTATAAGTAATGATTTTTCAAAAGACATGTTCAACTTACCTGGTAGTGATAATCAAATGGTAACTAAACAAAAAGCACTGTCTCACAACTTCTTTATCTGACCTACTGGATGATTTAAATCCTTTGAAAGTGACTCTTTCTTTTTGCTTTTCTGTAGGAATTTGTATCAAAGTACCTTGTCGTACAAAAATTTGCTTGACGTCTAATAAAATGTCGCATCCTTCAACAATCATTCGTTCTACAGCCAAATTCTTCCGAAGGTTTTCGGTTTCTGAGACTTCATCGTGCATTTGCTTAGATAGATTTTCAAGTTGAACTTGCGCTGCTTCTAAACTTTTTCTTTCGACATGTTCAAATGGAGTGTGAGCCAGAAGTTCATGAAGGGTTATAATGTATCTTGGAACCTAAAAAAAAATCCAAATTTTTGGAAATTTTCAAAAATGTAGGTATGCACTAATTACTTGATGCATAGGATAAGTCAAAAATGTCTCCAAAGATCTGCCATTACACATCGGCTTGGATTCTAATCTTTTCAAAGTTGCGGCAAATCGTTGGTTTTGCTTACATTCAGTTAGTACTTGTAAGGAATAGTGATGGTTCCGGACATATTCCTGGTAAATATTTAACATAGGAAGAAGCATGGAGAATAAATCACCTAAAATTCAATTTAATTAAATATTTAGCCGTTAAAGAGATCAAGTCTATACCTAAAACCAATGTAGGCCAGCTTTCTAATCTAGCAGTAAGTCCTTTCAGGAAAATCTGATGCAAGAAGAAAACAGTCTCGCTATTCAAAAAAATTGAATTGACATCATCATGAGTGCACGGAGGTTTCCTTGAAGACGCAGCCATTTTGAATGGCCTCAAAAAGCAAGTTATCAATACTTCCATTTGTTGAATATATTCTTCTTCACCTTCAACTAGTTGGAATACCACATTGTTCCGTTTTCTGAGCCGTTCAGCATGGGGGCTTTTAATATACTGTTCAACAATATGTTTCCATTTTCTGCGACATAACCATCCACGGAAGAAACTTTGCACTTTTCTCAGTTTGGCCAATTTTTCTTCATCGCCTTGTAAGTCTTCGTATAGGCAGCAAAGGCATCCTGATTCTTCAACGTTCATACATGTATGGACCATGTTACAAATAATACGTTCAACAGTTCTTTGTCTTTTTATTAGAGCCAGCTTTAATAAAAACAATAATTGAAAACCGATAGATGAGCAATATTTGAAAAATAAAGCCAAAGGATATTTTTTTTGTGAGTGGGGCTAATGAAAAGCTTTTGTAATGGACGTATTGCGTGTGACGAGCATTTTTTTTAAAGCGAGAATTTTTTTTGTAAAAACCTCTCATGACGCGCATCAATTTTTTATGGAAAACATTATTTGTGCAAAAAGAATTTTCTCCAGAAGAAAAAGTCGCAACACAAGCTATAGTATACCTACTAGTTAACAAATCTACTGCCAGTACATTATTTGTTGGACAAAAAGAGGAATGGATACAGTGACCACTGTTATTTTTATATCGAAGCATGGGCAGTTGGTCCCAGAGTAAGGACAAGGCTAATGTTTTTTTTTTCTTTTTCTTACTTTTGAGATGTCTGGAGCCTTTTGGATCAGTTATTTTATCCGCGCTTGTTGAACATTTAAAATGGAATACATATTACGTAAGCAACGTTGAAATTGCGCACATGTCAAAATAAAAAGAAATGGGGCTGGAAAAGTCCAATTTCCTATATTTCTCGTTTTGCAGGTTGATGAAGTGGAAACCTCAACTTGGATACATTATTAAGCGAATACATTGTTTATCGGCTATACACCACGCAAGGATGTCGCTCTTGAGTCGACCAACGCTTCGGATACTACATATAATGCGAATTTGCGCGGCAAATTGATTGTTTCTGACTTAGAACAGAAAATACCTCGATTTTTTGGTGGAAATTTTGTTCACCAGCATAGGACGGGCAAACATCGTGGGCGATGTGCAGTTGTCAGTTCGAGATTGTTGCAATGGCTAATGGTTGGAGCTTAGATAACCTGACTACATGCTGGATTGAATCATTGCGTGTCCCAATCTTAGACGTATTAGAGACTCTTCCGCTTGCTTCCCAACAAAACTATGGTGCGCTTGTTGATGCGTTAGAGCGTCATTATGGAGACCAACACAACACCGAAGGCACTAGGTAGAGCTAAGAACAAGACAACAGAAAGCCTACAAGAATTTTAAACCGATATCCACCGTTTGCTCAACCTGGTCTACCCTACCTCGAAGTAACAGCAGAAATACAGGAACAACTAGATATGGATATGGATATAGACGTACAAAGAATGTTGGTCATAAACAAACCATTAAGTAGCAGCGAAGCGTTAGTCAAAGCCCTAGAAATTGAAGCGGCATATAAGAATTCCAAAGCAAGATCAAAGCTGTGCCAATACGAGAAGAAAAAGATCCAGTAGGAAAAATTATCACAGGCTCGATGAAGGAACATCTCGGAAAATTGCGAAAGGCTGTGCCAGAACCAAACTGAGGAACTTGAAGCAGAGCATTGAATGTTACTGCTGCGGAAGAAGATGACATTTTAAGCGTTATATAAGGGGAACTATTGAGATCTCGGTTTTGAACGAGGACTTGAACGAGGGCTAAGAATGTTACCGCTCGGAAGAAGGGGACATTTCAAACGTGACTGTGAGTACAACTGATATCTCGCTCTGCTTCTGAGGACTATCAACCTTGGATTGAGAACTTGCATCCATGTGATTTTCTGAGCAAACTTCGCTTTGGTCAACTGCCCAACAAGGCAGATGCAGGTCAGGGCAAGAACTGCCTCAGAATTGATCCGCGTGAAACTGTTCCTGTTAGAAGCCTTCGATTTAATGCGGATCAAGAACGGAGTCCCCATCAGCTGGGAAATGATCAATTGAAAAGAGTGACATCGATATCGAATCGTTTTTCAACATAGTGAAGCCAGCGATAGAACTACAGGATGTAGGAAATATAGTCAATCGAGAATATTTTGTTCGTAGTTGCAATGAGACTGATTTTCGGAAAATCTCTGTCAAAAAATATTATACTAGAAAATGCCTAAAATTGGCGTTCCACTCTTTAGAAGTTAAAATCGTGATTGATTACTACCCGCTTCGCTGGATGAACTGAGAAAAGGGACCAACGCTTAGCCAGATTGATGGTGAGTGCCCATAAATCTGGCTAAGCTGATCACTTGATTGGTTCACAAAAATAATCATGCTACGCAATCCAGTCATATTACCAAAAATCCAGAAAAACCGGAAGCAAGGAGAACTCCTGACTTTCGCTCTAAAGACAGTGAAAATGGCTACGTTACAAACAGCAGATATAAGACAGGTAGGATACGCACTGAGAAGCAAGGGGATACGGAAAGTAACATGATCGATCGAAGAGAGGCAAGAAAAAAGCCTAGACACATTAAAAAACTTTGAAAAATGTTTCAAGAACACCTAGAAAAAAACATTCCAATCCACACCTTTTCATCTCTGCTGGCAACAGGGAAATATGATACTTTTGGATGGCACATTATCATTTTTCCTCTCAACTCTTAATTTTTTTTTGGATTTTTTAAAGTAAAATCATAATTCATTTCATTTATTACACATTTTTTTTTCTTTCGAAAAGTATCGCCCTCGTAATTCCTTTTGTTTCATATATATTGACCAAAAATGAAAATTGCATGTGTAAGTCAAAAAGGTTAAACGAGGGTTCCTAAAATATTGATGTAAGTTGAAGCTGAACTAACCAGTTTGCCAAAAACACAGCTGTAAAATCTGACATCACAAAAATCTGAGGACTCAATTTAGGATTTGAATAGGGTTGTTTATAGAAAATTTACTCAGAAAAGAATATTATGAGAGTTTGCTTGGTTCTGTAGTAACTATGTTTGATGAACTCCATACTTAGGATGACATCCAAGATCCTTGAAAATTGAAGTGGAGCTTCAGCTGTTTTATTCAAGATCTGGGTATTTTGGTTTTTCAAAAATACTCGAAACTGGATCATAGCTACTAAGTTCAATTCACAAGCAATTGCAATTAAATAATAGATCTGTTCCAACAAACGATTCTGCGCAAAAGCTAAAATCTGTGCGAAGAATCCGAAATTCGTATACGAGTGGTTTCAAAACCGTTCATGGGACGGTTTTGAGTTCATTTAAACAGATATTGGTATGTCGCTTATCATCATAAGCGATATTGATGATTTTTCAGATTTAAGGTGAATATAGTTACTCAATTCTTAAATCAATATTTTGGGCCATGTTTTGTTCATATCTATTATTGAATTGAAATACGTACGACAACGAATAATAAAATAAATCAGTTTCTACATGTGCAAATATTTGCTCAGCAGTAAGGGTTTTGGATTGCGTTAGTGATCATCTTGCTTTCGGATATGAAAAGTATAATTTTTGACGACATACCTCTTCGCGTAAAAATCTCATCTCAGCGTATAAGTCTTCACAGTGCAAAGAAAATTGCCATTTAGCTGTTTGTTCTGCTTCCACAACTTGTATGATATGCAAATGCTTCGCTGTCACTTTTTGCATTTCCAAATGCTGTTTGCTGAAACTGTATACTCTCTGTTAATGTGATAAATACATCGACTGTACTTGAATTATACAGGATGGCTGATGCTACGTGAAAAATTATTGAAAAAAGTTTTTCATGTTTACCAATTCGGAATTCTATAACGGATATAGATCGTTATCGATATTGCGATGGAAATTGCTATCTTGTTCTATCTTTTCGAAATCGATAGAGAGGGAACGTCAAGAGATAACAAAAATATCTCTATTCGTTACAGAATCCCAGCCCTGCTCAGTAATGTAGAGAAATTAAAAAGCACCCCTTTATATTTGAAAGCGCGTAACTGCAATATAAGTTGTTTATTTCTAAATACTTTCTACCAGCAATGTTGCAATTTTTAAATTTTCAGATGAGGATAGAGAAAATTTTCAACAACTTCTTTCTAATTCCAAAAAAGAAATTATTTTTTATCAGGGTTCACAGGATTTACTGAAATATAAGTTTGCTATCTGAGTTAGCTAAGATTGCTGTCTTTTTATTTTCTCTATTTCTATGAGACTTTTCGCCTTGCTTTTTGCTAATCTTCTTTCACGATTTTTTTTTCTTCGACGGAATTTGAAATCAGAATAAAATACACTTTGAGAATTATATTGACAGCTCTCTATTCACAGAATACGTGGAATAAGGCATCACCACGTGGAGAGATAGCGAGCGGGTCTGATTCGCTACTCTTTAATTAGTGATTGATTAGAAATTTGACACACCATTATCAGAAGCATAAATACCTTTTAAACAAAAAACCTTTTGAATGGAAAGTAGATCCCAACCTACCAAACACCTTATATTATTTAAAAAAAAAAAAGATCACATACATAATTTCAACAACGCCGTTATTTCGACCTCTTCCCAGATGGCGGCTGGTCGAATCTCAGACTGTTTATCAATTTTTTTTCCTATAAATTTGTTTTCACTTGTTCGGCAGTGACTAATATATAAAAATAGTGAAATTACTTTTTCCATATTAAAAATCAAGGACTGAACAAAGTTAATCTAATTTCCATAGAAATTGGTTTATTGTTCAAGCCTCTAGAGCCCCCTAGAAAATTTCAAATTAGAAACTACAATCCTAACTTCATTATATGCACATAAATTTCAAAAAATTCCTATTATCTCAGACAAATGAATGAATTTTAAAATACCATAACAATGCCAGTTTTTATTTCATTTCCGGTTAAACAAATAATTCCATTTTGAGAATTTTCAATTAAGGAACTCTAGAGTGGCATATTGTCGCTGACATGATCACAACAAAATCGCCCTCTACATATGACCTTCATAGATTCAGTGGAAGCATTTCATTCGGTCAACAGAGAAGCTCTTTGGGAGACATTGGCAAAAGTTGGGTGTCAGCAAAAGTACATCCAGATACTCCGCGTGCTGCATGATGATATGAATGCGACCTTCCTAAGCAACGATGGACAAGGAGAGTATTTTGAAGTGACTACAGGCGTTAAACAGGGCTTCGTTATTACACCCACTTTATTTTCTCTATTCAGACTATTCATAGGATCCAACCTTCACCTTGTCGAGTGTCACCTGCCGTCAGGAGTGGAAATCCTGTACAGACTTGATGGCAGGGCACAGGGCCGTGCATAGGGGGGTGCGGCCGGTACAAATTACCAGGGCCCGGGTTCCGTAGGGGCCCGGCTGCATGGAGGTAAGTAACACCCTGTTTAGCGTTCGGCAATCCGTTCGACAACGGTTCGGTTTTTTAAATGTAACACCCGTGGTTGCATGGATGTGCGCTTTATCGGGTGTTACTTACCCTCGGTATTAGATAAGCCTATTTACTATTACCATTTTGTAAATAATTATTTTAGGGCATTGAAATTTTAAAACATGAGTACAAGTGCAAAATATAATTAATATTGTTATATTATTCTAAATTATACTGTGCGTTCGTGATTTAGCAGATAAAAACAATAAAAGAAAAGAGCTTCCTTGAAAAACCTGGGACACCAATTTCAATTTAGGAGAACGTCTTTTTCACTATTTGTATAGTTGTGGAACATCGAAAAATCTAAAAAAAAGGCCACGTTTCACATTTTTAAGTAACACACTGTATATGACCTTTTTTTATTTGTTTTTTTTTGTGTGAAATAACAAGGAATTTATTAATATACAGGGTGGGTTCAAGAACCGGAATTTTGTTTTTGAGCTGTAATTTTTTTGTTGTTGACCAATTTCCTATTGCGTGTAGATATAGACTACAAAAGATTCAGAACAATTGTGTACGATAGGTATATACTAACAGGGAAATGTTCAAGATGAAAGAAAGAAGATTTTTACATTTTGCTGTTCTGATACAAAATATTATTTAAACTCAGAATATCTCTCCGGCGAGGCTTGGTGACATTCATACCAGGTCAATAGGGAAGAGATACTTTCGACAAGCCATTACATCGTACTGAATTGAATTTTTTCAATCTTCTTTCTCTTACTTGGGCCTACATGTGTGCATGATACCAAAAGGAAATACAAAAAGTAGGACCTATAAGCAAGAATTAACGAGCAAATTAATAAAATACAGAAAGTTTGAAACATAAAAAAACTAATAATATTATATCTATACTATCTAATAAAAGCATTACTTTTAAACATTACATGAATGCAAATCTGTCCAGGTTAAGTAACACCTGATAAAGAAACTCTCCGTTGCGATATCGGGTGTTACATTCAAATTTGCGAACGTGAGCTAAATGGGTGTTACTTAGCTCCATGCGGGGCCCGGCTCGCCATCTCGACAGAAAAGTTTTATGGTTGAAACTATTTTTTTTTTCAACTCACTTTCGCATATACCCACAGTGTTTCAGAAAAGCTGATCATGGTCTAACTCCCTTTATTCGAATGGAATACCCTATATATTATTGAATATTCGGATTCTATGTAAAATTCTGAGCAGATTTCATGTGATATACCCTAATCTGTTTTGAGTGTTTTGGAAATATTGACATCAGTTGAAAATTAACTTTTTTTCTATGAGTATTGAATATATGCGTAATATACATCCATTTTCTATTGATCAATGTGGATGATTACCTACTCATACAGTGAGTTTTTTTTTCATTACTTAATTGTTTTGAACCAATGAAAATATCCTGGTCTCAGTACCTACTCCACTATTTAAGAGCCAATCAGAAAATTCGAGAAGTGGACATCATACTTTAACCTTCCAATCGGTCATTTTGACAGCTGATTTGGACAAGACTTGTGCTAACCTAACCTCACTTTGTCCTCCAGCTGTCAGAATTGTCAATTAATTTTGTTACGAAAATTAAAAAAAAAAAATCACATAACTCGTGCCTATTTTCTATTAATCATAGAAAAGAGTTAAGTGAAGATGGCCGACAGTCAAGTCGTAACTCGCGATAGCTCCGAGAAAATCAAAGAAAAAACCCGTGAAAAACCAGTTGAAAATTGCAGACACTGCAAAAAGCAGACAAGCAATTTCATCCAGTGCGGGAAGTGTAAGGAAAACTTCCATTCCTCGTGTATGATACAAGCTGCGACGCAAAAAGTGGCCAAGTGTCGTCATGTTCCAGCATACGCAACAGAAGAAGCCTGGGCCCACGAGAAGGATCTATATGAGATTATTATCAAACTGCTTGAAGAGAAAAACGAAATCCTGCAGGAAAATAACCGCCTGATGGGGGAGAAAATCGAAAAAATGGAAGAAAAGTTCGAAAATTCCAAAAGTGAGGTTAGTAAACCCCCTTTCCCACTCAGTCATTTCCCGCCATCAACATGTGCCCTGTCAACAAAGGTACTAAAAACAAACGCAGCTAACTTCAAACCACATTTGACTAACGGAAAAATAACGGAGCGGCACGGTTCGGCAAATGAAAGCACCTCTGCTGCCACTCAAACCGCCCCGAGTCCTCCGAGTCCTCTGGTACCGAATGACAAGCATATGGAAATTGACAGAATTGACACGCCAAGTGTCAACGAAAACAAAAATTCCAGGAAAAATGAAAAAATACAAGAAAAGCCGATACACCATGAGGAAAATGTCCTGCAAAATAGGGAAAGCACGGAACGCCAAGTGGTTCCACCTTGGAGAACGGTTACCTACGGTAAAAAAACCAACACTCGACAAAATCCAGTATTGGGAGGATGCAAAAATTTTCAGCTGCAAGTAGCTCAAAGAAAAACTTATCTCTTCCTATCAGGGCTCTCTCCCGCCATAACAGAGGAGGAAATACAAAATTACATAATGGCAAGCACACAAACAGAAACAAGATGCTACAAAATGAAAACAAAAAGCAGCAACTTCAAGAGCTCTTTTAAAATTGAAGTTGTTGAATGTGAAACTGCAAAGATAATGACTCCAGACATTTGGGGTGAAGGGGTTGTTGTGAACCATTTTATGCACACCAGACGAAGCCTGACTCAAAGGGCCTATCCACCAACAGCCCAATAAAACAAAACCACAAAGAAAAAGCTGGAAAATTAAAAGTGTTGCACTACAATGCACAATCCATCAGAAGCCAGATAGATGAAATAGAAGCATATTTATGTGATAAAAACATAGATATAATATGTATTACTGAGCATTTCCTGAAAATCAATGAAATGGACCATTTGAGAATGGGAGAAATGACAGTAGCAGCATCCTTTTGCAGAACAATATCTATAGGAGGGGGATCCCTAATTTTTCTTAAGAAAAACACTCATTTTACTGAGCTGACAGACATCAAACAGCTAAGTGTGGAGAAATGCATTGAGATCTGTGGGGTGAAGTCCGTTGAATATAAAGCAACAATCCTGTCAGTATATCGCTCACCTTCAGGGGATTTTGGTAACTTTATTGACATACTTGATCATATTTTAGGCCAGGTTAGTCCTCAAGGCAGGGTCATCCTAGCAGGAGATTTCAATGTCAAATTCTGTACTGAGGATCGAATGTCCAAAGAACTCACAGACATGCTATTATCTCATGGGCTTCTCCAGACCATTTTTCAACCAACACGAGGAGAAAACTG